AAGTCGAACCTCTTCAGCTCCTTCCCTGCATCTTCCAAGTCCTTCTTCGCCTTCATACGCATGTAGAAGATGGGGCAGTCCTTGCTACTACAAATCACTTCGCAGTGCATGCTGCCCTGACACCGCTGGCACTGGGTCCAGAGCCGGCCGAACCGCACCTCGAGATCCGACGTCTTGTCCAGTGTCTTCTTATACAATTCGCCGACCCGAGGCGCGCAATCCGAGCACACTGCCCCCGCGCTCTCCTCCTTGCCTCGGAGTGGTTTCTTGCATCCCATGCATGTTTGCGTCTTCTTTGCAAACTTCATCAGACCTCCGACGGCCGGCGCCGATACTGCAATCGTGCGCGTATGCGCTCCCGTAAGCAGCGAGTTCGCCTTGGTCTCACCCAGAATGGGCTCGAAGATTCTGCCCAAAGGCTTCGCGAGCTGGTTATCGAGGTAGTAGCGCGTGTCGATCGGTACGTTGTTCTCAAGGACGTAGATGGGATCCTCGGATTTCTCGTAATTCTTTGCGCCTGCCGCACCCTTGATCATCACGTAGGCAACTCGATCACCTAGACCTGGTGCCGAGCCTGCATCACGCTTCTTCATTCTCTGAGCCAGCTCAACATGAGCCTGTTTGGCTGCGTAATCGTCTTTGGTGAGCGCCTTCGTAATGACCAACTTCGACATATCAACCTTGTTTTGCAACAAGTCCGCAATCGTGTCTTTGACGTAGCTGAAAGTAAAGGTTAATCAACATGGTTCAGTAATCAGACGGTGCAAACTTACTCTTGCGCTCCCTGGACATCTTGGTCGATGAGCATCATTCGAAGCACCTTCTCAATGACGGTTTGTACAAGCAGACAATTGTCTCGTCGAACCGTCTCAATACCCTTCGTATCCATCTTGTCGTACTTATTGGGATTTGTCCAGTATAGGCCAGCGTACCGTTTCTTGTTGATAAGCAGGTATGGGTAGTACACCTTTTCGAACTCCAACTTGATCGGCTTGACGAACTTGGAAGAGACGAAGCTAGCAGCTTCTTCGCCAAACTTCATGGCCTCGGGAAGGTCCTTGGTGCCAAACTTGACCATGACAGAGTCAGTGTCACCATAAATGACCTGAGCGTCATGTGTGTATCCATTGGCAATACAGTACTTCTTCTCAACCTCCTCCTTGGTCTTCATAATCATCTGTCGACCAAAGGCTGTTGTGCTACTGGCGATCTCAAGACAAGGCAGCTTGCCAGTTGTCGCACCCGTGAGTCCGTAGACGGAGTTTGCACTGATCTTTAAAGCCAGTTGTCGACCGTTCAGCACTGCCTTCTTGAAAGGATCTGTTTCTCCAGCCAATTCACGCTTGGCCTGCTTTCTTGCAGTCAAAAGTTCCTCGAGAATCTGAGCAAGAAGACCCTTCCTTTGTTTGATGGTAACAAAGGTGTCGCCGTTCGGGGTGACGATGTAGTCATCGTCTTTCTTCAGATCAAACTTTTCGATGGCCTTCTTGTTGACCAGCGTTGTATAACATAGGTTGTGGGCCTGCATGATACTCGGGTACAGTGAAGCGAAATCGAGGGTTGCGATAGGCACGTCGTAGTATCCTCGGGTCGGCTCGATGACCGTGGCACCTTCATACTGCTCATCGCTACCCTCAGACCTCATATTGGGAATAACCAGCTTTTGCTCGAGGGCTTTACGGAAAAGCTGACTGATGAATTTAACCTGCTGTCCTCTGGAAAGCAGAAAGTTGAACGGAATACCCGTGACTCTCGCCATCTCGGTGTAGTTTTCAAGACAAGATAGCTTGTCCATGAGCCGCTGCGGGAGGTATGCGTCCTTCAGACAGTAGAGGGCGAGACGTCGACGTGACTCGGGGGTACCGTTGAACAACTCTGTGATCATGGTGTAGTGGACATCCTCCTTTTGCTCTCCCAAAAATTGGGAGCACACAGAGTTAAGCGTGTAACTTCGAAGGTGGTGGTCGCGTTGGACAAGCTGCAGTAAGTCGAGTTGCAACCGTCCGTTGGTGTTGGTAGCCTTGCTGTCGCGGTTACCCATCTGTTTACTGGAGAAGTTTGTCTCCTTGGCTCTGGAAGGGATGCTAGGGATTCGAGACCAGTACTCGAATCCTCCAACCTTCAATGCCTTCGCTCTGTCGAGAAGGTATGGAAAATCAAAGTTGGCAATGTTGTATCCGATAATGATATCTGGGTCGACTTTGATGAGGAACTTCTGCCACTCGCTGAGCATCTTCTCCTCCTTTTCAAACTCGAGAATCTGCGTGGCGACGATAGGACTGGTTGTGTCTAAGCAGAATACGTTCCGCACGAAGGGCTTCTTCTCTCCGTATCTTGTCACAACGTTCGCAATCTGGATGACGGGGTCGTGTGTCGCCTCTGGGAAGATGCCCTTACGTCCAGCGCACTCGATATCGAACGACATGATTCTCAGAGGAGCCATCTTGGACCATTCTCCCACCGGCTTGTGAGCGATCAGGTCGAGGTAATTGATCTCGGCTTCGATTTGGCAGTTCGATTGTCGTTGAGACTGGTGCAAGACCTGATATTTTGATGCGGGGGCTTCAACCCAAGACATTCCGAAAATCTAGCAGAAAAATATTAGCTTCGTCGAAATAGTCGATACCAGAGCAACATACCTTGCAGTCAACCATAAAACGGAGGACGTATTGAATGTTGTCGAATGTCATGATGCCACCATCCATGCCCTTCCACAGACCCTTCCAGTTGGCATTGCCCGACTCAATCGTTGTCCGAACTCTGGCGATGAACTTAGGGTCCATGACAGTGACCTTGAGATAGGGGCTCTTGACATTTCCTTGGAAACCATAAATGTTTTCCCTCATCAGGAAAGCCACTGAGTGGATACAAGGCTGGTGCTGTGCTACTTGTGACTCGAGATAGGCCTTGAAGGCATTGCAGTCTTCGGGTCGGAACGCCACCGGGGCAGCGACATAGAGGTAGTGTTTGAAGTCCGTGACATGCAACATCACTGAGTGGCCTTGCTCGGTAACACCAAACAGCTTAACTGTTGCTCGACCGCCATGTAAACTGCCCTCCTCGGCCTCGATTTGCTGGAAGGTCAGGTTGTCCCTGGCCGGGTTGAAGTCGACAAGCGGAGGTCGCTCCCATGCTTGGTCCTTTTCGGTATTGTTCTGCTTGAGTTCAGAGATATCCTGGCTCAACTTCTCGAGGACTTCTGATTCGAAGGCGCTCTTGGGTTGACTAGAGCCCGGGAGGTTCTTCGCATTCTTCTGGGATCCGACATGGCGGGCGGGTGAGGACGAGAACCCTTCGACTTTGCGTTTCTTGAGGGACGATGGCGTCGACGGGATGTTGCGGCGGGTGCTTGGTGTCTCCCCAAGCACACGCTTTTGAGGCAGCACTGTAGCCATTGTGGTGATCTGGCTGTGGTGGAAGAGTTGTGCAGAGTGAATCAACCAGACCTCATAGTCGGGTGGATTTGGGGGATTTGGGGGGTCGTTAGGTTGTTGCTATGGGATGGAACTTTCAGAAACCCATTAACGCGAAGACGCGCTTGACGTGATTGACGTCGACGTGACTTGACCCACTCTAAAGTGGCTGATGGAAGGCGCGAGCTGATGACTAAGGCAAGTGCACTTGGGTGTCTGAGACGCGACGTTAACGCCAAAGACGGGAGGTGCAGGAGAGCGGGTACTTACCAGTTTATCTCCACTCAAGTTCAGGTACGCCCTCCAATATCCATAGTAGTACCTGAGGTAACGTAGACCGTGGACACGCTGAGGAACGGGACAAAGTTGGGAAATAAGCTCACCTTCTGGTTTATTCGATTGTTTGTTTACTAGGGTGCCTTTCCAGCATTTGTTGTCACTACAACACACTCATCATTCGGATTTCTTTGCCCTCGGTCTTTATTTTCTAACTTGAGCGATGCAATGATGTTTATAATGGTAAAACCTAATGACCGGAGTATGGTCGGAAGTTTATCACGAGGGACAATGTTGATGAATAATTCCTCGCAAAACCAACTCTTGATACTTACTGAATAAGGCTAAGCTACATGTGAATATCAAGTTGTCTATAACTACAAGATGTTGGAAGCTTCTATACACGACAATATGCCTCCAGAGATGACTGGTTACCTGTTATTGCATTCTACACATGGTCCCGGTTAGCTATCATGAACTCGACAATATTAGCGGTTCAAATAGAATAACAGAGCGACACACAATCTCGCGAGGCAAATAGTCGCTCTTATTCCTTTGTGAAGAAATAGGAGAAAGAGAGACGAGTTTGCTTGCAGCTGTCTTCAGATATCCATTCTGAGAGGCATCAACGGCGGTTTGTCACGACCGCTCAGCTAAGCCATGCAAATAGGATTCATCAAGAGATTGCTAAGAAACATCGTGGTCGTGAAAAAAAAGACAAGCAAACTTACTCTCAGTCAACATCCGAAACATCTGCTTTGGCGTGGTAGGACAGCAATTTGACGTAAGGCGACGTAACGGGGTATCTTGGTATTGCGTCTGTGAGCGGGACCGTGGCGACTCACTTACTTTCTCATCAGCACAGGCAAGTCATTAGACACACAGGAAACCATGGGGAAAGAGCATTCATTTATGTATTCATATTAGGACCGGGTCAGGTTTTAAATACGTAAACCTCGTGCAGCCCATCGAATGATATGTGCGGGGTAAACCAGGGGCGACAACACAACGTCCGAGGACGATGCGACTATGTGATGCCGAGACGGTTGGTCGGTCAGCGGCAGCGAATAGAAAGAACCCTGGTAAACCCCCGCAGCGCTATGTGTGTGGCTCTACCTGTGAAGACGATGTGTCTCTGTTGGACGTATGGGAGAGGATCCTTCCTTCTTTTTTTCATAAAATACCCATCGTGAACCGGACGCCGTCGCTGAGCAATGCAAATCATGAACCACCCTTGCCAAAGTCCATAAACCAGTGCAATGCAAACTCTCGTAGCATTAATTCGGTCGTTCCTCCTATGATGTCAACTCATCATGATGAAGTGATCTTGAAGTTGTCAAGCTCGCACCAGTTGTTTACAGGCTTTTTGTAAGTTAGCAGATGATCGTCAGCATGTGTTATCATATAACTTACAATACAACTGAGGTACTTGCACCAGCTGCAAGTGTTGTGGTAGATGTAGAAGTTATTAAGCAGGACAATGAAGACGATGATGACGGTCAGCAAGAAGCCAGCTCTGACCAACCACCATGCCCACCAGAGTGGCTTCCTGCCCTTGAAGAAACCGATGGGATTCTTCAGGAACGGAGGCGGGCCACCTTGATTGGGGGTGAGGTGCATTGACGCGTATGACGGATCCTCAGCGCCAAGTCTCCGTCTCAAGGAATTGGGCGAGTGCAAGACGCAGATGCCGAGCGCAAGACCCATCAGGAAGCCACCGATGTGGGCAAAGTTGTCGAGTCCTGGCAGGAGACCCAGTACGAAAGAGATGACTACATCCAACATGATGAACATCAGGTCCTTCACAGGGCTGCGGCGGTCTTTCCAGGAGTACAGGAGATCGAGCAGGGTAAGAGCGATGACGCCGAAGAGGGCGCCTGAAGCACCCGTCGACGCAGCCATAACACCGGCATAGTTTGCTCCCATGACGTTGCCGAATATACCTGCGCTTACATAGACCAAGAAGAAGCGAATCGAGCCGATAGCTATCTCCATCTCTTTTCCTATCGTCATTTGCAGAAGCAGGTTGAAGCCAATATGGATGAGGCCTGCGTGCAGAAAGATGGGCGTGATGAAGCGGAACCACTGGTTAGGTTCCGGTGACTGGTTGATGTCGGTATAGGTTGGCTCCGGCACACCTCCAAAGCCACACAAATCGCCGAGGCCGCACTGGTTCGAGGGGTTGCTGGCATCGCTCGAGGTCGAGTTCGGGCAAGGCCAGGTGATGGGCTGGCCGAGATCCTGGATACCCTTGACGTTGTGCATGCAAGCAACGTAGCGAGCACCCATGTTGATCATCACGTAGGTCGAAGGTCCAATCATAGGATTGAACGAGGGCTTGGTCATGATGGGCGAACCAGTGAGTTGAGCTGTGTTCCGTTAGTACATATGCTGTCAAATTTGACTTGCTGATTCGGCTTACCATTCTTCACAATCTCAGCGATGAAGACCGCAACCTGAACCAACGTGAAAATGTAAACCACCCACGGAATGCCCTTTCTGTCGGCACCGAACATGCCCAGCTGACCGAATCCAACCTTGTTCTTGTCGCGGCGACTCTTTGAGCGACGAGATCCCGCAGGTGCATCGTAAACATGGTCATTCTCGTTCATCTCCACATCCTTGTGCGGCTGCGTCGGCTGCCGGCTTTGCAGGGGAATTTCGTCGGCCACATTTTGTCTGCTCGAGTCTGGAGAAGTAGAATGACCGTAGTACGCGGTGTCCGGCTGGGCATAGGGATTCTGTTGGTGGGGATCGTGGCTGTTGTAGGCCGCCTGGCCGTGGCCTGTGTAGGCGGTGTTTACTGTGTTCATCGTGTTCATGCGTTGGGGTTGCATGTTGTTGGTAGTCTGAGGATGAGGGCTCTGGGGGTTTCCGTTGTGGCGAAATCCGTCCTGTGTTGAGTCTACGGGATAGACATGATCGTCAAAGACGCTTTCGAAAGGGGATACGGTATTGGCGCGTGGTGGTGGTGGTTGACTGGCGCCGGGCGCGGGAGGTATTGAGCTGTAGGGAGGAGCGGGTGTTGAACTGGTTGAGGGAATGTTGTTGTAGGCAGCACCGCCGTAATAGGGAGCAGGCGAGGGAGAAGCTCCTGGAGGGGGTAGCGGTTTGTTCTGGTAATAGTCGTTGGCGGCCATGATGTGTGCTGGGTCGGCGAATGCCAATTACGAAGGGATTGGAATTAAGTGAGACCAGGGGAATGGGAATCTGGGCGAGGTCTCGTCCTTTTCTGAGAGTCGAAATCTCGCTTGGAGTGGCTGAACTAGGTAGGCTGAGGCGGGCAGCGAAGGCAGGCAAGGCAGGCAAGGCGAATCGGACTAGTGCGAGATGGAGAATGGCTCAGGTACCGACCGGAAAGGGATGGGACGCGGAGAAATGTGACAGCGGGAGTGTTGAAATGAGGTGTGTGTCGTAACGTAGTCGGGGGGTCGTGGATATTTGTTCGATGCAGCGTTTTGGCGTGGATCGATGAGCCCGAGCTAAGCCTGGAAGACGGATGGAGTGATTGAGTTGAGGTATGGATACAGTGCAGGGTGTCCGTGAGCGCGGTGGGTCGGTAACAAGCAAATTAAGCCCGACTTAGCCAGCCTCTCTGAATGAGACCAAGGTAACCGGAGTAAGCTGAAGCTGAGAGGGCAAAGCCGCAAAGGAGAAGTGAGAAGAAGGTCGTAAAGTAATTGCAGGTTTCCCTCCAAGCGCGCGGTAGGCGAATTATGAATTAGCGGACTGGGAGAATGCCTGTGCACTCAACCTGAGCTACACTACTTCGGATGACCGGGTGAGTAGAAGATGGTTTGGGTGTTTGGGTGTTTGAGTGTCGGAGCGCAGAAAGGAGAGTTCAGTTCCTGTGTGACACCTAAGGGGTTATAGGGGGCAGAACGAGTGAAGGGAGTGCCACCTTAGGCTCGTATGTCGTCGGTCGAGGGATGGATCTAGTAACAGGAGCAGGACACGTTCTCACGACACGAAGGGGGGGGATGCGAGGAGGTTATTTCTTTTAAACAGCCCAGCTTTCAAACGCAAGCCTTCCTGGTCTTGTTTCTGTTTTCTGCCCAAGCCCGCCAAGTGGGAGGCAGAGTACCTTGCGGCCTGCGCTGCACCAACAACTACACCGGGTTGGATCCATAGGTACGTAAGATACAGAGGAGGAACAGCAATGTGGTTGGCAGCGAAGAGGACCCAAAACACTGCCCGCCTCTCAGACTCGAGGCCTCTCGTGAATGAGTGGATCACGGTGACGGGGAGTGTGTGGGAGGGAGGTGGCCCAGTGAGAGGTGAAGAGGGGGATGCACAATGGCACACCACCAAACGGGAGTCTGAGCAGGGTGCAGTAGGCTTGCAGTAGTTCCGGCTTTGAGGCTGTGTCAGCAACGCCAGCCTTCTTTTTCTGCATCTTCCACTCTGACCTGAGTCTTTTCCCCGCCAAAGGGGACCGTCGCCAGTCATACATACCTACCTTACGGTACCTGTATTCGTACGAAGTATCCGTACATCTAAGGTACGCATCGGACATTTAAGCCTGAGGTAAGGTGAGCAAGAAGCATGATAAGGTAGCGAGTCACCGTGCCTTCTCAGGGCCTCCTTCCATTGCCTTACGAGGCACGATGCCTACGGAGTACAAAGGCCAAAAGTGACAAGGCGGCTGCCATTCAGCAGCGCATGTGCATTAGCACACTGGCGGCCCTTTGTGGCAGCGGCACACGTCGCGGTACGAAGACTCGTGGCTGCACCTCTGAGTTGTGCTATGTTTGGAACGGAGACCCACAAGTTTCAGATAGTTGCGTAACCCAGCCTGCCGACCCCCGGCGTGGCAGGTGAGCTGTGAGGTAACTCGACCAGACGGGACCCTTCGTGCCTTCTTCCAACGTCCTTTCTTGCCTGTGTATTCGTACCTACTCCGTAGAATGTATCCGTAAGGTACCTTTCCACTAATTCCAACTGGGCTCGGAACAGAGCCACATCTCAACCGAGGTCGATATGCCCGCCACATCTCTTCTTCTTGAGCTCTTCCATAAGCCTCTCGCCTCTGTTCTGCGGGCTTCACGGCAGCCTACTTTGGGATACATCTATCAACCTCAGACAGCAAGCCATCCATCCACCTCACTCGCTGATCCGCTTAGGGAAGGCAGGATGACATGATGATCAACTGTCAGCACTCGAAACCTTGAAAGCCCGCCCCAGCAGCTTTTTGCAATCCTTCCGATGAAGTGCCCTATGGCCAACGACTGCCGATCCATGCAGTGCATGCAGACGACGGGCAGCATCCTGGCAGCCTGGCTCCGACACTCGCTCCGTAGGACGGCCACAACCCCAAGCCTTCAAGAGTCATGACCCTGGAAACCCTCGGCGATTCCACAGCGTTGGGGGAGCAACACCAGCATGAGGTGTTCATTCCATTATTTCCATCCCATCGACATCAACGCCAACTGCCTTGCCGCCATCCGACAAGGACCGGCCTGGCGGGGCACGAAAACCTTCCAGTTTCTAATCGGCCTCTCCTTGGAATAAATGGCAAGAACCCATCCCGGATATCCGGGGTCCCCAATAAAGCTCTCCAATGTGCCTTATTGATGGACCCCAAGGACATGACCGACCGGAATGTGGATTTCGCAACACCCGCTATAGAGCGCCTTCCTAAAGAATCTGCCCGACACCGTGGGTTCGTTGCTTCTCAGCCTCCTTGCGCTCGACTCTTCCTGGTCAACATCGTGGCACCTTTTCATCATTTCAAGCCTAACTACGCGTTCACGAGGATTTGGTACAAGAACAGAGAAGACAGACACAGGATGGCCTTCCAGCAATACCCGCTGTTGTGATAACGGAACTGATGCATGTCAGCTGAGCTTCCAACAGTTGCTGACATTCAATTACATCGTCTTTGCGACAGTTTGGACGAAAAACCTGTGCCAGATCGTCAGCTCACCTACGACGGTTGCGCACTGCGCAGGTTTGGGGCACTTACGACAAATGGTGGCTTAGAAAATGGTTACTCGTGGGGGCAAGCCACATCCACTATCGGAGACAGAAACACGAGAAAGCGCCCAAGCCCATGAGATGACGTACTCGGGCAACATTCGAATCCTCTTTTAAAATCTTTCTCGTGCTTTCCTCTTGCGAAGGAGGTGACGCTGGATTTGACAGCACCCTGCCAGTCGTTTTGGCATTCCCCGAGCCAGCCCTATCCAGAATGCTGGCTCAGGCTGGAATCATTGTCCGTGCGCTGTCGGAGATTGGGGGTCCTTTCGCCGTGCGTGCGGCGCGACTGAGGTCCCTATGATGGCGCCTCCATGACCGTTACGACGCCACACGCTATCACGTGTCGATAAGATAACAGAAGGAAAAAAGACCCCTGGTTTTATCAACTTTTTTTCTTTTTTCCTTCGCTTGGGGGAGCTTTAATTAGCAAGAGGGTCGTTGCGCAGAGTCTCCAGAGTCCTTCAATTGCGCGAAAGATTGCCTGTAGCAAGCTGAAGATCCAATTCACACTATCTTTCGGAACTATGAGCAAGAGAATCCAAAATGCGGATTCCGACTCCGACATGGAGGACGGTGGCGCCAAGCTCAATGCACCCACGGTTCGCCCGACTCCCCGAGTCTTCAGCTGTCATGATTCTAACCCCCACCTTAGGAGAAATCAACCGATGCCATGGATGTAGATGTCCCACCAACTCCTGCCGACAAGAGACAGGCAGCAGCCATGGCTCGCGCCGAACGAGCTGCGCGTAGAAAACAAATCCGTGAGGGGTTGACGCCAGGAGGCTCCCAAATTTCTTCCTTGGCCAGCACGCCGAATCCCGAGTCCCAACCCGCATCGCCCGCGCTCAAAGCACAAGAAAAGAAGACGAGGGGAAGGAAAGCGACAAGAAAGAGCACGAGCATTGCTGAGAAGGAAGAAGAAAAACCACAGGACAATGCGGTCACAGGGACCCCCGCCGAGACCACCACAGCAGCAGAGCCCGCAGAGCCCGCAGAGTCAGAAGAGCCAGCAGAGCCCGTAGAGGCCACAGAGCCAGCGAAATCACCTACGCCTACTCCTGCAACAGATGTCGAGCCGCTTCCCTTCGTGATCGATGTGAACCCCACCAAGGGCAAGATCGCCGACAACACAAGCGTCTCCATTGCCGGCGACGCCACATCCATTGCCCCCAGCTCGGCGTTCGGCGGCGACAGTCAAATCGGTGGCCCCAACCGCGCGGCGAGGCGGCGGCAGATGCAGATTGACAATCACCGAAAGACAATCAAGAAGGAGCTCGGCATACTCGCCGAGTCGGACGAGCGTGCGGAGGAGGTGGACGCGCTGCTCAAGACCTGGGTCACCGAGTTTGACGAAAAGACTGAGGCGCGGGCGGCCAAGAAGAAGGCCAAGAAGATCGCGTCAAAGGGGAAAGCAAAGGGTAAGCCTTACTCAGGACGAAACAACAAAAATGATGAGAAGCAGAAGCAGATAAAGAAGCAGAAGCAAAAAAAGGCCCTACGAGACCGGCAGGGGGGCAACTAGGAGAGAAATTGGCCGACCTGCGGATCGATGGGCCCCCGCCGATTCTGGAGAGCAAAGACGTCGTGAGGGAGTAATGGATGTGTGATGAAGGGGAAAGGGAAGGAGGATACAACAAGACAAAAGTATATACGCATGCATATTGGCGTCTAGCGGGTCAAATGGGAGGAGAATATCTCAATAGCATATTGAAAGCCGAGCTCAAATAACGGCATACCGGCCACGCTTCGCAAGATGGGGACATGGCCGTACACGTCACAGATCGCAATGTCCAGACCTTACTTGTGTGATGGTGCTCAATATTAGTAATGTACAGCCAGGGGAGATTGTCACCAACCCATGTATGCTCCAAACTGCAAACCTTCAACGCCTTTTTGCTAGACTCCCTACTAGCCACCGTGTGTACCTGGACTTGAGTCGGGCGATTTCCCCTCCAAATCCATTACTTTTTGTTCTTGGTATCCCACACCGGTCGTCACATCTCGTCGGCAAACCACGCCCATTATTGCTTCTTCTCGCTATCGTTCTTCTGACCCTGCTCCTCCTCCACCTCCTTCTTCGCGCCGCTCCAAACCTCGGAAACCTGCTCGGCAATCAAGTCGCCCAACCCTTTACCCTCAGCAAGCGCTTTGGCGTGCTCGGCAGCCCTCTTGGCCTCCCAGTCCTCGGGCTCGCTGCCGTACCACAGCCTCTGCGCGAGGTTGCGCTTCTTGAACTCGATGGCGCGCATCTGCTCCTCCGTCAGGCCCTCGCGGCGCATCCGCTCCTCGCGCAGGAGCTGCTTGGTGCGCTGCGCCTGCTCGGGCAGCGTCGTGGGGAACATGCGGCCGAGGCGGGACTGCATGCGCTGGAAGAGGGACTGGCCGCTGTAGTCGTAGATGAGCTGGTTGCCCGAGGCGGAGAAGCCGGTCCAGAGCATGAAGGTGCGCCAGTCGATTCGGCGCGGGGGCATGAGCATGATTAGGGGGCAGAGGACTACGCCTGCCCAGGCTGCGTTGGTGATGATTTTCGGGGTCGGGGTCGGAGTTTGGGCTGGGGCTTGGCCCGTTGGTTGTGTAGAGGCTGAAGGCATTGTGTGTGTGTGTGTGTGTGTGTGTGTGTGTGTGTGGTTGTGATGGTTTCCGCGATGAAGATTGTGTCGGGCTAAGGGGGGTCGGAAGCTGCTCGGGTCGGCGGCTGAGCAAGTCTCCTCGCGATTTCGATTGCTTCGACGCTGTGTTTGTAGGTGGTCTTCGAGTTCGGGACGGAGATTGGTGTCGCAAGGTAGGTGGGTGATGCCGGGTGTTCAAGTCAATGACGATTGATGAAGCTGTCTGTTGCAGGTGCGAAAGAGAAATCTCCCAAAATTTTAGAACCGCGCTAGGCCCCGGCGCCGAAAGTCGAGGTGGGGCCGACCCGGGGCTCCGGGACACACACCACCTGAATCGAATACATGCACTTGGTTTGCATGAGCACTCGCTGGTACCTAATGAAACCTTCGAAATGGGGTTTAAGCAGTGAGCAGTGAATACAGATGATCTGGTGAGATGAATTTGTTTCAATTGTCAGTGACGGATTCTTGACATGGGCAGAACGCCTTCGATTACGATTCCATGGAGATGAACGCGACGATCTGGAGGATAAGTCCAAAGTTGACATAGAATAAATAGAGGGAATTGAGAGTAACACGGTGAGCTATAAAGCCATCTCTAATTTACTCCCCGACACTCCTTTCCATCTAGAACACATGGGAAATTCAACCTCTTTGACAATTTTGGATAATCAAGCATATAACTAGATAGCTCACTCACTATTACTACATGCATCGCTTGGTTATTTGATTGCATAGTACGGGTACTTTTCAGACATGACTGCGCGTCAGAGAGAACATCTGCGTGTCATTGCGCAACGCTCAATTTGCTCACTTGCCCAAATTGGAAGCGTCCAAAATCGTTTGCACTTTTCTCCTCTTTAGATCATCACTGGTTTGCTTCATTATCGTCGAGATATGACCTCTAATTAAACCTGACCCCAAGAAACGCCTCCGAACATGCGACACAAAAGCCAAAATCCAGACTTTTCTAGTTTTCCTACTTTTGAACTCCTCCGGATGCAGATGCGTGAACAGAATCCAAGATAGCCTCCTCTTCCTGCCACAAGTGCGCGCCCGTCTCCTTGAGCAACTGCACGCACTTCTCCTTGCCCATCTTCTCGGCGAGGTAGAGCGGCGTGTTGTTGGCCAGGTTCCTCGAGTGCACGCTGGCGCCCCTCGTCAGCACTTCACGCAAGATGTCAATGTTTGGGCCGACGGCGGCCAGGTGGACGGTCGTGTTGCCCGCGTAGTCGGCGGCCTTGAGGAGCTCGTGCTGGGCGTCGTTGTCCAGGATCTCCTTCACCGTCCGGACATCGCCGTTTCGTATGGCGTAACCGAGGACGGTAAATGCCGATTCTGACGCGGTTAGTCGCGCTACGACCGAGTCGAGTGAGCCAGATGGATGCGAAAATACCGGAAGAGCCATTTCCGTCATCTCGCCACGCAGAGACTGCGACATTCTCGCGCTGACCTGGGCGGTGGAAAGGCTGGGGATGGCGAGAAGGTAGGACAGCTTGGTGAGGGCGGCCTCTGCTGTGAGATCGAGACCGAAGATGACGCCGGCGCGGCCGAGTTCGGTTCCGGGGCCGTAGACGGGAGAGACGAAGCCGCTCATGCACTGACTGACATTGACAACAATGACACCGCGGTCCACGGCGGCCTTGATGACCTTGGTCAAGCTGCCGTCGATACCGCTGGGAGCGTTACCCATTCCGAAAGTCTCAAGGATGAGGCCACGTAGGTCGGGGACACGCAGGACTGAGTCGAGCATCTCTGGCCTGATGCCAGGGAATACTCGAAGACAGGCGACGTGAGCTGTGTCGAGATGCTTCGTAACCTGGAGCTCGGCGATTCTAGTGGGCCTCAACACGATGGGCCAGTTCACATCAATACCAAGCCCATTCACCTTGGCCAGGGGCTCGCAATTGGGGCTGGCAAAGGCCTCGAAAGCGGCAGATGAGACTTTGCTGGTTCTGTTGCCGCGGAACAGCTTGTGGTGGAAGAAAAGACCGACTTCAGGGATAACAAAGGTTCCTGCGATGATGAGCGAACCGAGGAGGTTGTCGACGGCGTCGGACTGGAGAGCAAAAATGGAGGCCTGGGAACCGGTGAGGATAACCGGCTTTCCCAAGTCAGAAAGCATGAATGACAGAGCCGACGCCGTGTACGAAAGAGAGTCGGTTCCGTGCAAGACGACGAATCCGTCAAAAAGGCGGTAGTTTTCCCTGATGGTCTGGGCAATTTCTGTCCAGCCCTCCGCTGAGATGGAGCTAGAGTCCAGCAGAGGGTTGAATTCCAGTACACCGTAGCGAATGTGACGGGAGTAGGCGCTTGGTGGTGTTCTCAAGCTGTCGATCATGATTCTTTTCCCATCTTTGACGGCCTCAAGTTGGACTACGCATTGTCAGTAAAACTCATCATCCATACTAATTATTTTGGCAATTAGTGCTCCAGTCCAGCCGCGGCTTGGGAAGATATGCTCTCAACATTTATAAGAAGCCTTCGTGAGAATGGGCCAGGGCTCTCAACATGCGAAGGAGGCAGACAAGTACTCATTTCTTGACCTCCGTGTTTCCTGGGGACGTGCTGTCTTTCAGAAAAACCTACCAGGAGGGGAGGACTTGTCGTTGAATGAGGGCCGCGGGGCCATGGCATCCTTCAAGAAGCCTCCGATGGGTTGAAGTCCGTCGGCGGTAGGCTGCATGCAGATGGTTCCGCCCGTCATGATAATGAGGACTCGAGACTCCGGGTAGTTGGACGCCGGTAAGAGTCTCTCGGCGGTAGGTTCGAAAGCCATTATGTCGGTGTTTCCGTGGTGCGGAGTTCGAGTTTTGTCAAGTCGCGAACAGCAGTGAGTGAGAGGAAACTTGGGTGTCGTCCAAGTCGAGACTTTATCACGTATCGAAGCCTCCACAGATGGGTATAGTAAATTGAGGGGCACGGGGTAATGGAGGGGCAAGAGCTTTTGTATGGAGAGCGAGGCGATAACAGTTGGCCAGTGTCACGCATGGGTGGTGCAAAATTTTGTAAATTTTGTCGGACGGAGGAGTCTGTGAGAGACTGTGACGGGCGGGCAGTGATGGATGATGAAAGCACGCGAGTGGAGACTGATGGCGAGTCAATCAAGTCATTTGTGGCATACATCAGCAATTTAAAGGCAGCTAGAAGAGCCCTTGGTGGCCGGTATACGGCAACGGCCTGGATGAACCTGACAAGAGCTGGCTGACATTGGGTTTTGCTGCTTGACCGAAGCCTTAGATAAGGAGGGACAAGGGAATGCGGGCAAATATTAGACATTGCCCCTCGCACTTGACGGTACGCCTTATCGCGATAAGCCAAAAGTTGTTGCAAAACTTGGGCGAACACCAGCGTAGAGCCAAGTATCGCGGGGCAGAGTTGATGGGACAAAAGCCGATAGCGGATGGCGGGCAGAGTTTTGGAGGGGTAATAATTAAGTAACAGAACGGCCACGACAGCGGCGTGACCATTTCAAGGAACCAGGCATGGCTGGCTAGACTCGACGAGGGTGTGAGTCGCTGACCACGGCGCAATTCGTGTGGGAGGACAAGAAAAAGTACCTAAGATACTCAGGTAGAGAGGGGGTGCTTTATGTTCTATGGTCGTTGTCGATTTTTTTTTTTGTGCCAAGTTCGGCCCAGGATGAAATTAGATCTAGCATTTGCTTGATGGCGAAGAAATCAGCCTAAAAAAATGCCACAAGTTGCTTGCAGAACTTCCCTTCACCTTCAGACGATGACGCACGTGCGTGGACTAGGCCAGAATGGACCTGCCACTTTTTTTTTAAACGACCGAGTGCTCAGGTACGTTCCTTTCCTCACGGTCCACTGTTGGACACGCTCGGGAGGACCCACAATGCAGGACCAGGGATTTTCCGCGACCTGAGTTTGCATCATCGCCAATCTGGAACTTGATTGAGATTCTGCCACAGACACCGCCCAAACACCAACCCATCCTCAGCCACCTGGGCAGGTGAAATCTAACAACCACAGAAGCTCTTCGCTAGGTACCGACAAAAAATACTTAACTTTAGCATCTGTATACGCCGGCTACGATTATCCCCGTGGAACCCTGGCGACGGCTAGCAATGCGACCTGTTTAGTCGTTCGCCCTTGATCCCATCTGTCACCAGAACTTCCGATCGAGCAAGCCAGTCTTTCACGCGACAGGCGCATCTCGCCGCGCTTCGCATCCATCATGGATTCCAGTGCGCCCAACGGGGGCTTATCGCCTCGGACTTTTGCGATGCAGCACCAGCGTCCTCGGGCCAGTTTCCAGGGATGTTCACGAATCTCCGACTACGAACTCCTCGGGAAGCTGGGTGAGGGTACTTTCGGGTTAGTCCGCTTCCAGGCCTTGCTACTCTGGTCGCGTTACTGATGTACTGCGCAGTGAAGTTCACCATGCGAGATCTCGCAAGACCAATGCTCATGTCGCCGTTAAGAAGATCATCATGCACCACGAAAAGGATGGCGTACGTGTGATTCCCGTTGCCAGACAGCCAGCGCATCTACTGACCGACCTTCGACAGTTCCCCATCACGGCATTGCGAGAAATCAAACTTCTGAAACTGCTCTCCCACAAAAATGTCCTGCAGCTGGTGGACATGGCTGTGGAGCACCCTCAGAGAGCCAGTAAGTCGCTCATGCTCAACTACCCAATTCGCCAGCAGCAATTCCTGACCCGAATTGTGACAGGCGACAAGCGCAAGCGCCCGATCATGTACATGGCAACCCCGTACATGGATCACGATTTGTCGGGTCTTCTCGATAACCCTTCCGTCCATTTCACCGAACCGCAGATCAAATGTTACATGCTGCAGCTCCTCGAGGGATTGCGATATCTGCACGACCAACATATCCTACATCGAGACATGAAGGCTGCCAATCTTCTCATTAACAACAAAGGCATCCTCCAGATTGCCGATTTCGGTCTGGCAAGACACTATGAAGGGCCCACGCCCAAGCCTGGACACGGGGCAGGAGAGGGGAAAAGGGAATACACCGGCCTTGTCGTCACTCGGTGGTACAGACCCCCGGAATTGCTGCTTCACTTGAAACGATACACAACTGCTATTGACGTTTGGGGTGTTGGGTAAGTGTCAGAATCAGCGCATTTTTGGCACCCGGTACTAATGATTTGGCAGCTGTGTCTTTGGCGAAATGCTTGTTGGAAAGCCGATTTTAGCTGGTGAGAGCGATACACACCAGCTCGACATCATTTGGGATCTGATGGGGTCGCCCACACCGGAAAACATGCCTCTTTTCCACACTCTTCCTGGTGCTGAAGCAGTAACCCCACGCCCTCGGCCTGGCAGCATAACCAACAAGTTTAGAGAGTACGGAACCGGAGCAGTCTCTTTGCTTAAGGAGCTTCTCAGACTCGACTGGAGAAGTCGCATAAATGCCGCCGATGCGCTCAACCATCCATACTTCAAAATGGCTCCCATGCCAGCCGAACCCGGAGACCTACCCACCTTCGAAGACAGTCACGAACTAGACAGGCGAAAGTTCCACGATCGTCAGGCAAAACTCCCACCAGCGCCCAAGGGAGGCACGGTGGGCATGGGCCCCGAGGCGCACGGCGCAAATGCCGGTTTCAATAATGCCGATGCTTACAACAACCGCAATGGAGTAAATGGGCGCAATGCCAATGTACCGGGAGGTCACAGAAACGGCGGCGATGAACGCCGACCAGCCTGGCAGCGCGACAACAGAGGCTTACCCCCGCGACCGCCCCTACCCGAGTATGCTAACGGTGGCCCTATGCCGCCCCGTGATGACTACCGGGACAGAGACAGAGATAGGAGGCCGAGGAGTCGAGGAGGAAGAGGTCCCGATGTAGACACGTATATTCCGAGCTACAGAGACGATGTTCCTCCACGACACAGAGACGACCGGCCTCCTCGCGACCGACGCCGCAATAGTAGAGATGAGCGATGGCACGAGCGAGACTGGGATCGCCGGACGCGGAGCCGCAGTCGCTCTCCCATGCGGGAACGGGACGCGTACCGCAGATGAAACTGCGGCCTGTACAAAAGACAGTATAATATCGAGTGGCAGGACAGCTCGGCGAAGCACTGGGACAGGCGTTTGGGGGTGGGAGCATAATTCCAAGCAAGGCTGGCATATAAGTGATTCCCCGGTAATGAATGCTTCCCTTCCCAGCAGTAGTGGTTTATATGAAGAAAGGCCGAATTACAAATTCAAATCTCTGAATCATCGTCGTCCTCCTCATGAATCGTTTGCGACCAAAGTCCAGGAGTTCGCCTCCGTCTCTTTGGGGGCGGCTTGTTCAACAACTGCCAATCAGTCTCGTAGGATGATGAGTCTTCTGTTTTGCCAGTCCCAGGCCGCTCTGACAAAGGTGTCCCCGGCATTGGCGTTGCAGAGAGAGAACGAGACCTCTCATCATGCATGCCGAGGACAGAGGTGATGATGCCTGATGTGCAAGCCATAGTCAGGCCAGCCAAGATGCCGATGCACGCACCGCAGGCCAACTATAAGGAAGGTTAGTATATCAGCAGTCCAATTCTTGTGTAGGTAAGGCAGGAAACCAACAAAGGTGTAAAGGGGCTGTGTTGTGCAAGTTAGCGATGCTGTCAACAACATGCGTTTCAAGGGAGAAAGGAGGAGGGTCTGCTTACCTGGAGGCTGGCTATGAAGTCGATGACGGATTGGCACCATCCCAGAACAAATGTGGCCATGAGTAAGAGCGGCGATAGTAGTATGAGGATGACGTTGATGAAGAATGCCACAGGCTTCCAGGCTATTCTTGCGGGCCATGTTGCGATGGTGAACACGCCAGAGGCGTATGACAGTAGGGCCATGATGTGAGGTGTGAAGAAAAGGCCTTTTGATGGTGGTACTTCGATTGACGTAGCGTTACAGGGGTAGCTCAGTGTAAGCTATACCTGGAGGAAAGAGTATCACTGATGGATCTCCCAGCATGGCAATTGGGTGAATTCACGATGGCCTGGGACTCGGGAGAACGTTGAAAGAGTGGAGGTAAATGCTGACTGGGGAGAGATGAAGCTTAAAATCGAGGGGCGGTGGATTCGTGACACGGGTGTTTAGTCCGCGGTGTGAGGCCGGTTACATTCCAGCCAGCCTTTTCGTCCAGAAACCCGGGGGTTGATGTTGATGTCACGGTGTGCGTGGGCCAGCTGTGGGAAGCACGGCAGAGAGTTGCGTTGGTACCTGCAACAAAAGTTGGGTTGAGCTCAAGCTCGAAATTGGAAGGAAGTAATTACCAGCTCCTCCAGGTCAACGTTGCCAAGCAGGCAGGTAAAGGTAAGGTCATCGATCGGACAGCCGCTTTCAGAGGTACGGAGCTTGACTTCATCAGGCCAGGGGGGGAAGGAGGATGGATGCAATTTAAGCCTATGCGCATTGACCAGCTGGAGGTGCCGACGAAGCACACGCCATTCCTTATCGTTCCCGTTTTGTGATGATTTGGCTCATGATGTCTGAGAAGTACGGAATATTAGCTGACTTCACAATGAAGGAACAAATAAAAGACGGCAAATTGAATGCCACTAGATGCTAGAGGTCATTTGACAGGTAAGCCGAAATCCAGCTACTGTAGAGAGATGACGGTAAGGCCGACCGGCAGGGTGACAGGTCAGGTCTGTCTGCGAGTTGCACAATGATGGGCTAAGCGGAGGCCCGCCGGTACTTGGTTCCCCATGGTCCGCAATATGCGATATGGAGTACCAATCATGTAGAGCTTATCTGGCTTCGGCTACATCTGAACCCCCCAAATCCAAGTGGGAACACACCACCTGCCACCCCTCCACACTCTCTCAACTTCGCCTGGTATTGAACCACCTAGGTAACTCAACCTCTCATCCAATCTTCGAAGCAGCAAACCTGCCGTGTTCACTCTGCACATCCTCGCCCTATCACCAGCGAATCTCCGCTTCATTCTTCTTCGCAGAGCACAACAACCCCCGACACTCGCCGTCGTCGCCATCGACCAGCATTGACTCAATCTTTCGAGAATGCGATAATTAAGTCGCAACCCCGCGTCTTTGCTACATAGGTATCGTCGTGCAATCCACGCCTTACCTAACCTGGATCGCACAAACTCCAGTCGCAGCAGCTACGGATACCTTGGCCCGACGTGGAAACATTGGGTCCCGACTACCCCCCGATTGTGACTGCCCGCCGAATCGCTGCATTGCGCTCTTCTGGGCAACGCTGCCCTCGCGCTTTCCACTGCATCGCTGCCGTAACCTATCCCGCAACCCGCATCGCCTGCCGTGTGTCCGCCCGACCTCGCCGCTTACCCTTGAAAAAAAAAAAAGAGATCCAGGACTTACCTTAGGTTGGTCTGGCCAGGTTCCAGAACTGCGGACTGCGGACTGCCTGCCCACCTACCCCCAGAACGCAGCGAGACCACGCTGTCGTGTCCCACCATACCTACCCTACGAGCGGATCTGAAAGAAGAAACGACACAAAATGGGAAACAACCCCTCGTCCTCGTCCAAGCCGGCCACGCCTGTCTCATCACAGGACTCTCCCAAGCACCACCACCACAAGAGGGAGTCCAAACACATCATCCCGCCCCGGTCTGCCGAGCGAGTTGCTGCCCCGCCTGAACCTTCCCTTACCCAGGCTCAAGGTTCCACGGCCACAAAGGGCCCCAGGCCTCTCCAGGCCATCCCGATCTCCAACTTCACCACCGGCTCTCCCTCGTCAAACTCGAGTAACTCCGCTCCGCCGCCGAAGCCCCCAGAATCGAAGAACGTCGTCCGCGATGCGCCTAGCAAGCCCGTAGACGTCCCAGCTGCTGCCGCGACAGAATCCTCCTCCCTCAGATCGCATTACTCTGCCCACATGGTTGAACCACCGCTGGTTGGGAACAGCAGCGTCAACGACATGTCTTACCTGACACGTCCTCCGCGTATGCCACTCCCCATCGAGGAGGAGATTCACACTCCGGGTTCGCCCATCATCGCCCCGACCGACGCCAACGACGCTGGTGTGGCCGAGGTGGAAACCCTCGAGGATGGCATGACTAGGAAGTCCTCGGCCTTGAGCACAAATACAGTCGAAGAGGAAGATGGCGAAGAGTTGATTGTCGACAAGACGCGGCCAACGGTTCCTACTCGTCTCGAATGGCGCAAGGGAGGAGGCAAGGTCTACGTCACAGGAACCATCTTCCAATGGAACCGCAAACATAGATTACATCCTGTGTAAGTTTCAATCTTGTGCGTGTATGGGCTTGAGTCTCGGCTGCCACCGTTACACCTGTGACTCTCCAGTGGTCTAAGATTCTAGCCTCTTGGTTGCCTTACTTACATCAAGCCCTACGTGCCATGACACAAGCCGATGCTCCCATAAACACTGAGCTGACAATATGTGTTCAATAGCGATGGCCAGCCTGGCGTGTTTGCAGCCACGATTCACATTCTTCCGGGAACACACCATGTTAGGTTCTTGGTGGACGGAATCATGCAGACTTCACCTGACCTGCCAACAACCGTGGATTTTGGAAACAACCTAGTCAACTTCATCGAAGTGAGCGCAGATGACATCCCAGCAACAGCACCCGTTGAGCCTGGAAAGGACGGCGTGGCTACAGCAGCTACCATTGACAAGGGCGGCCCAAAGACCTCGGCATCGCAAACTGATGAGCAGCCCAAGGCGCCTAGGGGCAAAGAAGTGCCTTCGCCCAGTCAATACTTCCACCAGATACCCAAGTACTTGGTGGATTTTGATCAGCCCGAAGACTCGCCAGCTTACCAGTATGCGGTTACAGCTATTGAAAAGTTGCCGACACCTCCGAGCTTGCCAGGGTTCTTGGGTAAGCCCATCTTGAACGCCGCAGTTCTTATGAAGGACGACAACAGTGTGCTCAACATGCCCAACCATACTGTTCTCAACCATCTTGCTACCAGCAGTATTAAGAACAACATTCTGGCTGTGTCTGCAACTACACGTTACAAGAACAAGGTATGTCACCTGCCGTGGCACTCAACGTGGTCCATGACTAACAAGTCATATAGTATGTTACGACGATCATATACAAGCCCACCACAACAGACGAGTGATTTGAGGCTCGGGGATCATACCGAGGAGTTCCGGCATTGAGTAGCGTGCCTGCCCTAAGTGAATAATCGTCACCGAGCTTAGAGTGGTTGCCTTGTGGAAAGAGGCAAAATAAATGAACAAAAGAAATCAATAACAGCCAGCTTATGCCGCATTGGCAAATGGCATTAGTCTCTCCATTTGACGAATACTTCGTCTGTTCTAAATCTTTGTGTGCATGAACTGTCCTCGAGGGACGTCCTGAAGCCGGTCTCGTACGCCAATAGGCCAGCATGAGCAATCATGATGCCGTTGTCGATGCAGAAGCGCTCGTCCGTTGCATAGACACTACCGCCCCTCTCTGCAGCCATTCCACCCATCATCTCTTGTAGCCTCTCGTTACAGCCGACACCTCCCACAATCAATACCTGATTACTGCCAACGTGTGCCATGGCCCGCTCCGTGATCTCGACCAACATGGCAAACACTGTCTCTTGGAGCGAAAAGCACAAATCAGCCGGTGTGAACGTCTCCTCCCCCTTGGCCTGCGCCGCCTTCATCTGGCCTGCTAGAATATCCGCATAGGCAAGGATGCCCGAGAAGGAGCAATCCATGCCCTTGACGGCGTACGGCAGCTCCAGTAACCGCGTCCCCTTCTTGGCCAGCTGCTCGATATTGTATCCCGGCGCCGGGTCGTTGCTGATCTCGAGCGTGCGCGCAAAGCGGTCGAGGCAATTACCGACGGCGATGTCGAGCGTCTCGCCAAAGATTCGGTACCGCTGCTCAGCGTAGGCAATGACCTGGCTGTTGCCGCCGCTGACGTACAGCACGACGGGGTTCTGTGCGCCGGTGATGGTACGGCCCATTTCAATGTGGCCGACGCAGTGGTTGACGCCGACGAGGGGCTTGTCCCACAGCAAGGCCAAGGTGCGGGCGGCGACGGCGACGCTGGTGAGGGGCGCGCCCATGCCGGGGCCCTTTGTGAAGCAGACGCAGTCGACGTCGGCGACGGCGACGCCGGCCTCGCGGAGGGCGCGGCGGGCGATCTGGACGAAGAAGGAGCGGTGGTGCTTGGCAGTGTCTTTGGGGAGGAAGCCGGTGCCCGGGGGGGAGACGAATGTGTGACGGATGTTGGAGAGGATGGTGGACTCGGTGCCGTTGTGGAGCATCACGCCGATGCCGAGCTTGTTGGCGGAGCCTTCGCAGCCGAGGGCGATGAGGCCGCGCTTTTTGGTCATGTTTGCTGTTGTGAGCTTGGAGGGGGATTCTGCGGTCATGGCTGCGGGTGGTGGTGGTGGTGGTTGCTGTTGGTAGTGGTGTTGAGGTGTTGGTGGGGTGTCGACGTCGAGGTTTAGATCGCGGGGCCTCTTTGGTGGACGGGTTGTGGTGTCGCTCATGGGGCTGGACTTTGCCAGATTCGACCGTTGATTTCACCTTCCCTCTCCACAAGCTTTTAAGCCTTGACTATCTCAAAAGATTATTCCAGTTCAGTGAGCTTGATGATATTTCCTTGTAACTCTAAAAATACGGAAAATTCATATAAATAAAGGGAAGTATGGCGACAATCCGCTATCTGTCGCAAAGAAAGAACAGAAAAAAAAGTTCGATACGAGCCAATGGAAAAATAGAAGTTGACGTAGGAGGGGTAATCCCGTTGGTGGGATGTCCATGTCGGTTTTCCAGCAAGAGAACTGTGGATGGGTAATTATGGGTCCCAATTCTGGTCCCCTGTCCACGGGCCCAGAGAGCAGAAGCAGAAGCAGAAGTAGAGGCAGAAGCGCGGCTGCGCAGCATACCTTACCTAGGCGATCCCTCCGGTAGAGCTGCCACAACGGTTCTTGACACACAACGCCGTACCGCACCGGACCCTTTTCTGCCTTTTGCGCAAATGTCCACGGGTGAGCCGCCCTCCTCCCCCCCCCCTCCTCTACCTTAGCCTACCAGCCTTCCTGCCTAGGTGTAACCTCCCGGCAAACGCCGCCCGCCTCACCTCAACCCCAAGACAGACGTCTGTTCTGTCTCCTTCGCGTCTTCCTCAGCTTCTGTGTCCTTTCCCCCTCGAGGTTGAACCTCACTGACGAGATACACGACACTTCTATCTTTCTGGTCTAGAATCTAGGCATACTCAGAGCCAGTATTTTTCCATTGACCCCCGTTGGCGCACCGTTTTTATCGCTCAGAAACACAAACCCACCCCCCGGTCAAAGGGTACCTTTCTGAGGCTTCCAAGAGGCACACACATTTATCCCCACACCCACCACCGTGCAAGCCTCGACAAGAAAGAAAGTGGACTCCCCCTTCCCATTCTCACTACACAATTCTTTCTCTCTTCTTTTGCTCCAGGATATTTCCTCTCGCGCCCCTCTTTCTGCGGTCGGTTGCTACAGATATTCTCAAATTTTCCCTCATTCCCCCTCTTTTGTGCCATTTTCTTTTCCAAAGCCCTCTTCAGGGTCCCTCCCCCAATCTTGTCCTGTCTCGTGATCGGCCGAGGGATCTGCGGGCACAGATCAGCCGAATCGGGGGTGACGGGAGAGAGAGAGAGTCTCTCCAACAAGACAAAGGTCGACCTGCTGACCTACTTCACGACTACCTACCTCACCCACAATTCCACCGTCTTTTTCCACCTGAACAAGCTGTGAGGACTACTGCAGGTTTGTTCTCGTCTCTTCTTTTGAGGGAAATCCCAGAAGCTGTTCAATTTCACCAACCTGCTAACCCGTGGTTTTTTGTCAGCCAGGTACCTACCCCCAAGCATAATGCCGCGCCTGACCACCCGCTCGTCGCAAGCTCTCTCCGAGTCACCTTACAAACCACCACTACCTCCTCCCTCCCGACACATCACAAGTTGAGGCACACAAGACCTCATGAAGCTACCGGTCCTCTCTCTGTATTAACCACTACTCGCTGCTTCAAAGCACGGCAAAGCGCATCGAGTCGCCGAGCAGAGTCAGACGCCGCCAGCCGCCGGAAGCCGACCTCGATCGTCATCTCCGCCAAGATCCGGCCCACCGCGCCCATGGCCAACGAGAACAATCCCTTCCGCTTCCACACGAGAGCAATAGGCGATCAAGCCACCGATAGAAGGAAGGATTGAAGTACATTATTCATCTTTCTTTATTGTCTTTGGGGAATCGTCTATTCCCCGGCCGAGGCTTTCGTCTTGGTAGACCACGACCACCGGTCTCCAACTCCTCTTCTTTTACATTCATTTACTTTACATGAGAGCCCTCTCAACCCAAAACGCCACGCCTAACCGGCCGCCCTGCCTGCCCGCCTGCCAGCCACCAGGCCCTTTGTACAAAACCAGAAGACAACCAAAACACCATGGGGGGTATACAACACACGTCATCCGAGGATGAGGAGTAGAGATCGCGCCTTGAAGGCCAGACCGTCTCTCATGAGGGGGTAGCAGCAGGTTGAGCTGGCGGAGAAGCCTGAGGTGGCTGCCGCGGTTGCTGCGGCGTCGCTTGCGGCTGTGGTTGAGCCTGCTGCTGCGGCGTCGGAGGCTGCGGCAGTGCAGGCCTGCCAGCCGCTCCCGCTACCTGCGGAGTTGCTTGGCCGTTGACCATGCCCTCATGCGGAAGTTGCCGGCGCTGGTACACATATTGCGACAAGGGGATCGTCGCGCGGAACTTCAAGGCTCGCGTGTCATATGGGTCCACCTCATACACCTGCGGCTCGTCCTCGTCGTCTTGGTCATACTTCCACCGATCAGTATACTCTTCGCCTTCCACCCTCGGCGGAGTTGTCATTCCACTCATTCCCCGACGGTCAATCCACAGTCGACCCAAACGGCCAATGCGTCGGCGGAAGGCTGCTTGGCTGCTGGAGGGCTTCTCCTTGCCGCCGCCTGCTGTGAACTGGAAAACCGACATGTCGCTTCTATCAGTCACAGGTTCGGGTTCTTCATCGACGTCCATGGCATCTGACTCGGAAGATGTGGATGCAGGCGGCGTCATCAGATACTGGGTCTTGGCAGGACGGAAGCTGGCCTCCATGCGTTGTTCCTTGACCGGGGACAGGGGGTCTCGCGTGAGGTCCACATGGTTCTGGTTCCACTTTCGGTGGTTGTGGACCTTGCTTTCAACATCTGCGCGCAACTCGTTCTCCTTTTCAGCAAGCTTATCTGCCAGCTGCAACAAGTCTGCCTCCATGGATCGACCATCCGGTCGCACGGCAATGCGAAGGTGATTGCCAGGCGGCTTCTGGAGAGCAGGCGCCTCCACGGGCTTCTTCTTGGGAGGCTGTGCCCAGTCAGCACACGTCTTTGGATTTCCAGACGATGGTGTCAGACATACCTTGTGGTTGATGAGGTCGTCGTCCTCGGTTTTGATGCCGAGCTTGACCTTCATTTCCTTGAGTTTGGCTCTCTGCTCGAATATGGCCCGATCAAAGGTAAGTAGTTCACGTTTGAGCATCTCGCGCTCATAAGACTGAATGATGAGCTGCCGACCATCTTCGAGTTCCCTGCGAAGTCGCTTGAGTTTCTCGGCGCTCTGAACGTCTCGTTGCCGTGTCTTTCGCGTCTGTCTGGCCTCACGGCGTCGGAAACACACATATGGGTCGGCCTCGTCACTTTCCTGATGCGTTTCGAACTTGACGCTGGGGTGAATAGGTTTGTTGCCGAGCGTCTGCCGGCGCGTTTTCCAGTGCTCATAGACGTGCTTGGAGTGCGCCATGAGCTTGTTGCCACCGAGCGAGGAAAGGGAGGGCACCATCAGATCATAGCCAACCACTGTGTTGTCTATGGAAGCGAATGGAGTCTGTTCAGACGCTGTGTCTTCGAACACTTCCATAATGCGCTCAAAGTCATCTTCTGACAGTTGAGAGGCGACAGTCTTCTTGGTAGCATTGTACTGCTTCAGGAACTCATCGTCCTCAGTTGTCATGTCATATGAAACGCCAATGCATTCTTCGACAGTCTGCGAGAAGCGAATGAAAGAGGTAGGTTGCTGAAAGTTACTGGGGTAGAGTTGATCATAGTTGATCTGACTCTCCTGAGGAGGCGGGACAGGAATTTCTTGGTCATTGCTGGTGCCTGCCTCTTTAAGAATTGACTGGAGATGGTATTCCTATTGATTTGCGGTCAGTATGTGGCTGTTGTTGCTCTGGCGAGCTATAAGTGAGAAGTGGATAAGCCGGGGGTGCCAAGGCATATCACATGGTGGGTCACGTGATATCTGGCTGCGATATGGGCGAAGATGTGACTCACTGTTTCTTCGGCGGCTTCGACTCCGGTCGCGATTTGAGTCTCGGTAGTCAAAGATTCGTACTCAGCAGCATCGATATCGGTCTCTCTGAGCACAGGAAGAAGCGTCTTGACGCTCAACTTCTTGACTCTAACTTTCCTGGTCGACATGGTGGCGGGTGGGGGTCGAAGGCCAAAAGCCAGCGGAAAATCCGCGAAAAAAGTCGATCAAGTCATACAAGAGGTCATGCGACGTTGATTTTTGAAGTTTTGACGGATAAAAATCGTGGTTGTTGGCTTTGGATTGATGGTCGATCTGTTGCTGGCTATGAGGCGACGTTGATTTGGCGTTTGGCGTGAAGAAGAATTTTCCTGTTGCGCTTCTACGCAGTAAGGTAGGACCTTTCGGGTTGGATTTGGGCGTTCAAGGTACCGTGCAATAGTAGACGTGCTGTAGAGGTACTTTAGGACGCTCGGGCCAACAGAGATGGATCGGAGTTGGAAAGCAAAGACTGGCCGACACGTCCCATGGAAGTGACTGGCACCTGCCCAAGGGGCGCCTGGAAAAAGGGGAAGCTACTAGTCACGTGCTTTTCCCAATCTGTCAACATCAATCAGAAAGCAGCAGAGCGGTGCTAGGTAGCAGATGTGTAAGTGACATAAGGTAGTCCTGTCTCTTGTTCGACACCGCCCAAGTCTGATGTCTAAACCGATAGACTATGCATCAAATCTCAACTCATTCATTTCGTTCCATCCTCCCGAAACTCAAATGTGGTGGTAATACATCTGACACTTCGCAAGCCCGTTCAGGTCGTACGTCAGACAATGAGATCTAGAACTGGCCCGTGCGTAAGCACGCTGTGGTGGGCTCCGGTACAGCTGCCCGAATCCAATCCGGCGCCTGGTCGCCGCCTGGCCGCCGCCTGACTCTACTTCGACTACCTGCCGCACTGCACCTTGGCCTTGTTCCTGTCAACCTCCCTATTCAAGGCGAACCCCACGGCGAACTAGCGAAGTCGAGCTTGACACAAGCCCACCCAACTGCGACGACCCTGGAATATTTCCTGCCAACTACACCGTGCACCCGTACAGCTTTTAGTCGAGTCCGATATCGAGTTTCTCCATCATGGGCAACACTACCAGTACGGTGTTGGACAACATCGTCCAGGGGTCCAACTGTGAGCCCCTCCCCCGCAGTCGACTTCTTTGTCGCACAGACTTCGCTGTGCTGGAGCTGACCGGTATGCAGTCGACAGAGAGGAAGTTGACCGTCTGAGGAAACGTTTCATGAAGCTGGACAAGGTATGTATTCCCTATGGTCTACTTGCTTTCTTTTCCATTGCGCTCATCGGCGACCCGTTTGCCACCAGAAGACAATGTCGCTGACCCTTCTTCCATGCAGGACAACTCTGGCACAATCGAGCGCGATGAGTTCCTCAGCCTGCCCCAGATTTCCTCCAACCCGCTAGCCACGAGGTAGCCATAATCCTTCCGATGCAATACACTGCGAATCACGTTACTAAAGCGATCTCACACAGGATGATTGCGATCTTTGACGAGGATGGTGGTGGAGATGTCGACTTCCAGGAATTCGTATCAGGCCTCAGCGCCTTTTCCAGCAAAGGCAACAAGGAGCAAAAGCTGCGCTTCGCCTTCAAGGTGTACGATATCGATCGCGACGGCTACATCAGCAATGGCGAGCTCTTCATTGTGCTCAAGATGATGGTTGGAAGCAACCTTAAGGACCAGCAGCTGCAGCAGATCGTCGACAAGACCATCATGGAGGCCGACTTAGATAAGGATGGCAAGATCAGTTTCGAGGAGTTCACCAAGATGGTGGAGAACACGGACGTCAGCATGAGCATGACTTTGGGTAAGCGCACTATCCGAATTGCGTGCCTTTTTGGCTTCAAGTCGTCTTGGCCGGAGGAGAAGCTAACATCTGTTTCTAGACACGTTTTAGAGTTGAACACGGCGGTGGGCGAGCACATCAGGATCATGAGACATGAATTGCAGCAATCATTATTCGAGGTAGAGATAAACTATCCCCCGGAGCGACACCACGGTCGTCAAATGTGCCTGGATTGCAATATCCGGGTTTAAAACAGCGTTTCTCTGTCTGCTGCGTCCAACTATGCTAGTCTATTGAAACGCGATGACATCCAGTGGTCTCTATGTGTCGATGACGCTTGTGAACAGATACAAAGGCCTGAATTGAGGCTGAAGACGATAATGTGCATGTACACATGAAGTTTTCAAGCAAACCAGGCCCTTGTGACCGCGTCGCAGCTAGTGCGGTGGCTCGAAACACTGCTACTTCTTCTGCAGCAACATACTTGATACACGAAGATCTGTCTTTTGTCTTTTGTCGGTCTGATGTAGGCACATCAGCCCTTGTCGCCGTATATTCGTCGCACGATGCTTGAGCCTCTCACTTATTATGTGAAGAACTGGATCGCAATAAGCCCAAGGCTGTCATCACTAGATTCCATCCTTCAGTTGGTACTTTCGTTAGAGCCAACCGGGTTAGGTTTCGTACTGTAAAGCTAGCCGATGGTAAGACTAGCCGAAGGTTAAGAGTAAAGTTGGACGTAGTAACCCCCTATTGGGCGACTGGGACTACTTACAGATCGGCTCAAGAGCATGAGGGTGAATCCCATGTCCACTCTTGTCCATATTGTGTTACCAGAGACACAGATTGTATACGAAAGTGAGCCAATGTTTCCCAGACCCGGATGCAGGGTGAATCCGAGGAGACATGCATTGCCAGTATATACTATGGGCATTCACGTAAAGAGATCATCGTAATAAACGACTACTTACAAGCCCCTTTGATCAACTTGAAGCCAATGAAACAGCAAGCAGTTCCCCAGGGTCGTTATATCAGCTACCGTTCTACGTGATATTCGGGATGTGTCCCTTATTCCCATTCCCAGTGTGGAGTAAATACAATTTTGGACTGATTACAGCCTAGAACTGTCGTAGTATGTCCAAACCCTTTTGATCATGGCCAGAAGTTCAGTGTTGTTCCGAAGTCGCGATGGATCCTGAGGTAAAACCTACCTCGCACGAGTAGTGAGTAGCTCAGTACTTCAGGGAGGCGATTCGAACTCAGGTATAACAGCCCATTTCATCGTGGTCCCAAATCGAAACGTGCTATCATAAAGCCTTGATTTGCGAATAGCTCATCTGGCGATCTAGATCTCTGTGGAACAGGGCTCTAAGATTCTAAATCAGAAACAAATGTCGTGTTGATCTACATCGAACCGTAGCGAGTATCCGACGGGTGAGACGACCATGTCAAAGACGACCACGTTGGCACCCACGGCCAGAACTCGACAGTAATCCCCTTCTTACCCGTGATGAAAGGCATGATGAAATACTTGTGGTATCCAGTTGGATCTGAGCTGTTAACGTACATCTCCAGTCTTATTCAGAGGGAAAGAGAAGGCCTTGTTCTTCTTGCATCAACACGGCAACAGGCACCATTATTAGATTACCTAGTATGACCCTTGGCTGTGCCTAGGCATCGTACGTGGTTATCACATCTAGCTCGAATATGCTCATTAGAGACAAAGGTGTTCTCAATGACCGACTACTAATATTTCCAAAGACAGCCACATCGAAATGACTACGATGAAAAGTCGCGCGCACGGCGCAATAGAGCGTTGCTGGGCAATGGATGGATGGAGGAAAGAACACTCGATAAGGTAGTCCGTCATTGCCACATACGTTGCCACCCGAAGATGTACCTTCCTTCCCTCGGCAAGCTTTCTAGCCCCTTCCAGCATACCCAATTGATCAATGGGCCGCCTTGTGCCTCTGGGTTTGCACTTTTCCAAACGTTCCGTTGACAGCCCAAGTCTTCTTCATGCTTTACCTCAAATCACCACCTGTCATCCCAGTGCCATCAGCTTTCGGCGGATTGCATGAGGCGGCCAAAGTATCCGAGCTTTTTTTTTCAACATTACAGCAATCAAGCTCATTTTCGGAATGACTGCATGCTAATTCTATTCCGAGAAAGACGGGCATCGCAAACGAAGCAGATCTCAAGGTCTTCCTCTGATATGCCCAACTTCCGACAACACATCGACATTTCACTACGAGGAGGTCGTCTGCCCACAGTCATTCGCCAAGAGATGTCGATTTTCAATGGCGTTGGCAATCCATTTTTCTACTACGAAAGCCCATGGATAGGACGAAGCACGATATACCAATTGTCCCACTCCGATCGAAAGTATCCAGCCAAATGTCGGTATCACAAGGATGACATCACATCCAGAGCATGCTTATGTCGGCCGTCCCGATACTACTTGACTCTTTTTGGACAGGCGGTCAAGCGGTTCATCGAAACCAGACTTCTATAACGAATCGACTTACACCCACGCCAGACCTGTCAAAACGAATTGCTCAAGACGGAAAAAAATGCCTGATACAACTGGGCGTAGCTAAAATAGGGTTTACCGAGGGAACGGTTGGCGGTAGCATCCGGTCGGAAGGGCGTATGACAGTGAGCCCAAGCCAGGTACAGACTTATTAAGAGTCGACATGGTGTCACTATGCTCCACGTAGTTATTTTTGAACTCCCGACAGGACCATCCATGTCTTGACTGCTAATTTGTCGTGCCTAGGAAAACCGAGTGCACGAAATTGCAGCCAACCAAGCGTAGGCTATCCAGGCTGTCACGTATCTCACACACCATTCCACATCTTCCGGGTCAAACAGATGACAGCTGCTCTTACATCGTGTACGACGCTGCTTCTTATGCGATTTCTGATGCAGCTGCTTACCGCCCATGGAAAGGCATGCTATGTGCAACCAGAAAGGCAGGGCTTCAAGTCAAACCTCTCTGATGAGCCCAATGTGGCACTCTCCGAACTTACTGGACAAGCCCGCCAGAGACACGAATATTGTGTCCTAGGAAGGGACGAGCTTTGAAGTGAAGCCGGACGGGGTGGACCCACCGAACCGGGGTCCATACCGGCTTTGCCGGGTCAGTAATCGCTCCAGCGGGTACACGGAGATGCGGAGTGTTCAACTGAAATGATGCCGGATCTTTGAACGAGTGGTCGGGGCATGTACAGGTACAATAGGCAAAGCTCCACCGTGTTGATTGCCTACATGGATGATCAGATCATGTCTGTCCACCACCAGGGACCTCTTTTCCTTGTCTCCAGCGAGTCCAGCCCATCCTGTTGTGGAGCCACAGGGCGTCCGGGAAAGTGACAGATCAGATTCCCAAATCAGTTCAGAGGAAAGATATGCAAGTCTCAACCCTGCACCCCCAGTCATTCCAGCCATGGCACTGGAAATTTAGGGCGGAAAAGGGGAGGGCCAGAAGTCGAGTGAGGGTATGCTTGCTAACAGTTGGTGCTGCTAGACTCCTCTGGGTCAAAGCAATGTGGCAATGTAGCCCTTTTCACCTTTACTCCCAAGCCGGCGCCTATTATATCATGCTTGAACGGTCAGACACAGGATATACCCGAGATCTGCGTCTCTTCCCGCTACTTGGATCCCGCCCGCCATCTAGAGTGCTGGGCTCGAGGGGCGAGACGCCTGCTGCCACCAAGTAGGGATGGGCTTGCTCGCGCACCCAAAGCTCAGAGACAAAAACAAGACGCTTAATATCCCATACCTAGTTCCGGCCGAAGGCGTCGACTGGTAGTTTACCATCACCGAAATACTTTCCACCTATGGTCCAAACGAAGCTCGATCCCTTATCGACACCCAGCAGAAGCAACGTATTCGGTTTACACCGGGCTCCGATTGCCATATTCCTTGGTAGATAGCCTTGCTTCAGCACATGAACAAGGATAGGAACTCAGCCGTGTTTCAATATCTCTACACCCTTGCTGGCAACACAAATACATACCACCACCGCTGACTATGCCGCGATCTGCAACTTGGTGCCCCGTCCCTCGGGGATCAGAGACAGCGCCATACCAACTCCCTGTTCCACTCCGCCTCGAAACAAGCCTCGTCTAGCAACAATCTTATTGCTTGTTCCAGTCTGGTCGTCCCGTGCTATGGAACAATACCAGCCAAGGGCTGAGTTGTTGCTAAACTCAGATATATCCAGGTGTCTTCTTATGCTCACGCTTCAATATGTCACTGCAAATAAATCAGTGTGTGCGACCAATAAGCAACAGCGCCAATGCGCACGAACACGAATGGTCCCAAGCAGCCGGACTCCATGATCCCCCACTCTTCAGAGACATCAAATAAGACTGAGCCAAAACCCCGTCTCCAAGCATTCGACCAGCCTCATGCAAGGTCCTGGTCACTTGTCATATCGCGGCACTATCCTACTCATATTTGACCTATCCGTTGCTAGGATTCAATCATTTCTGGCTCTCAAGGTTGGTCTCACCGAAACAAAAATTGATTATCCGGCTTTTGCAGCATGTACGAATACAACTTGGTGTTACAGATTTTTGGCGATCAAGACTGCCGGGGACCGCGGGGCAATCCGGTCTGTAGGACGACGTTCTAAAGTCTATTGAATTCGCAAGCCTCGATCCGTTTGTCACTCTGTTGCGAGCTGGAGGGGCTTGGGTCCCGTCTTGCAGCTGCGAGCAAGTGTGAACAGGCGGAAAGTGGGAGGCCACACTTCCAGCCATCAACCTGCATTAGCTTTGTCAAGTTGCAAACGCCCATGCCGCCCATAGTCTCACAACGCGTAAGTAGGGAACGGCTGAGCTGACTTGAGAAAGAAAAACTTGCGATGCCCTGCAGAAAAGCTGTCCTGCAGATGTCGCTTCCCGCGGCCATTCACAGGCCACAAACGGAATCCCGGGAACATGCGGCTGACTTACTGGCCCACCGATTTTGACGAAGGTTCTTGTCTGACAATGTCATAAGAACAAGCCCGAGCGTGGCGACCTAATAACGACAAGCCACACGCCCCGAATGCCGCTGTCTCTCTCATAATCACTGTCAGGTCGAGATTGCTGCCTGACCGT